CTGCTGAGCCTGTTCCTTGAACTTTGGGAAACCTTGACACCATTTCTCTGTGAGTATGTGACCAACTTCATCCCAGTTCATGAAATTGAGACTTTCAAATCCTAAGACAAGCGGAAGGAGTTCATGGTCAACCAAAATTCGAGATTCTCTCTGTTTCAGAAGGGAAGTCAGATGGAACCTGATTTCATCATCTCCCATCTCTTTTCCATGTTGAGCAAACAATTCAATTCTCGCTTCGGTTGCAATGCATGAATGGGAAGCAGGAGGCAACATAGGCAGTGCTGCTGCTGGTAATGCAAGAGAACTGGAGGCTGCAGCATCACCAGTGCAATTCTCGTCATCAGAATGCCATTCCTTTTCAGTATCTTCATCACTGTCCCCCGATGCCCAGACCCAGGGTCGACTGACAAGGGTTTCGAGCAAGAGGGCCTGTCTGAAACGTTCACGGAGAAAGCTATGAACTTGCCAAACCTGAGCATATGCGGTAGAAATGGGCGTGCCAAGTAGCTTATGCCTCAGGAAATCAATAGCACTGGCTCCACATGCAGAATAACACACAAAGTTGGGAATCTCATGATGAAACCGAATCCCTCCAAAGCCAAAGGCGGTGGCAATGTCAACTAATATGTTGACAAGTCGAGCAGGTATCTGAAGCTGCTTGTGACTCAGCATGATGGTAACATGATCACCTTCAGGAAGAAACAACACTGGAAACCAATGATGATCCCACTTGAAAACTCCAAACACCTTGCTTTGCGTGATCCACACATCATGTTGTGTCAGGGCCCATTGAGTACACGTCATGGATCTCTCATCAAACCAAGAAGAAAATCGAAGTGGATCAATGACTACAGGTCTTTGAAGATCACCATCAATCATACCACCTGCACTGCAAACCGCTGCCAATTCATGCAAATGAAACCTCAATTCATCATCCGCCCAAATGCCAAACTGTCGGACAAGCAAAGCAATTCTGTCATGGACAGAGATGAGCTGTGACCTCAACTCACCCAGTCTGGTCAAACTGGCAATGATTGGGGGATCCAAGTTCCTCATACGTTGGCAATCCATGTGGACCAGAACTGATACTTGTACCGAATCAGAGGCTTCAGGCATGGTGTCATGTGGATCAGGAAAACTGTTCACCGGGGACATGTGCAAATCTCCTACCCTCATGGCGGCTAGAGTCGGATGGAATGTCACCTCATCAGAAACAGCAGTTCGAGTCTCCCTGGTCAGAGACTCAATCACTGCACAAGCAGGTGTGGTGGGCATTCTAGGGAGTAGCCCACATTCCCCTGAAGAAACTGCAGGGCAACCCCTTTCATCATCATCTACGTCACCATTCCCCCAAATCCACGGTCGTTGAGCAGTACCTGTTTGGCCTAGTGCAGCTTGAAATCTCTTTCTAAGCATGGAGTGAACCATATCCACTTCACTGGCAACAATGGGAAGCATGGTTCCATGGAGAGCACCATGAAGAAAATGAATCGCCATAGCACCACATTTGGTTGACACTGGAAAAAGTCTCTGTTGTCTACTGATCAATACTGAATTGAAACCAAGAGCTTTCCCCATATATTCAAGGACTTGATTAAACCTGTCATGGCTCACACTGGGAGAATCCCACGTGAACACGTTCGCATGAGCACCACAAGGGACAAATTGGAACGGGATCCAGTGCGATTCCAGCCTACCAACCCCAATCACTTGAATGCCAAACTGTCGAATTTCAGGGTGATCTTTGGCCCAAATGTCAATGGGAAAACCGCACCCACAGATCCAGGCGCTCATAAGCAAAGGGTCAAGCAGACAAATTCTGGCTTTGCCGGACTCAATGACCGTGGGAAGCCTACAAAACTGATCAGCCAGCAGCTGCAGGTGAAATGCTATCTCATCATCAGCCCAGAGTCCATGCTGAGCTTCAAGAAGTTGAAGCCTTTCATTGGGTGTGATCACTTGACTACGCAACGCAAGTAGCTTGGCAGGATCCCCAACACATGGGACCGACAACTTCAGAAACTGCTGATGTGACAATCCAAACAAAGCTTGGATGGATCCCCACAAAGATGGAGCAGACAATGTTCGAAGGTTAACATCCGAATCTTCACTCTCTGCTTTGCAAGGAACTGTCCAGATCGCAGTAGGTGAAACCAAGCCTTCAGAGGTTTTGACACCGAGATCAACGGTCTTGATGACATCTTCTATCTGATCCCCAGGGAAATGCAAAGACTTGTCCAAAACCACACCATGAGATTCACTCTTCGGCAAACAAACAGGGGGACCGGGTGCCTGAGGAGAATCACTAACACCGCAAGCTGGCTCCATCGAAACATCTCGCAAAGTACTGGCAAGATCTCCACAATCATCCCCAGACTTCTTGGAAGCCCCGGCAAAAAGTTCACCCTCATCAGTTTTGGACAAGAAAACTTGAATGCATTGACCCGGTTCAATCTGCTGATTAAATGGGAGAAAATGCCCTTGGTCATTGGAAATAAGTTGAACCTGTAATGGTCCCGTAAGCTGAGCATGAGCAGTGAGCACATCAGCTACAGTAGACCCTGCTTGAAATCCAAACTTGACCGTACTACCATCAATGTCAATCAGCGTCACAATGGACACATCAACAGAGAGGCGCAAATCACATTTAGGGTCAGCAATAGGTTGGTCAAACCATGGCGTTTCAGAAACGTCACATTCATGAGGCTCAGTTGGGTCAGAAGGCCCTGAGCTGCAAATGATGTAATCAAGCACCGCCGCAATGGAAATCATGTCTCCTTTCAAGTCAGGCCAATGACTCACTTGCATCAGTTGAGTAATGGGCACTTCTTTGTAGTCTTTCCAAAACCCTACAAGCTCTCTGAGTTTACTGTCAGGAACAACAGTGTCATTGCATGGCCACATCGCAAAACATTTCATGAGAAGCCAGGAACGAAAGGCAACCAATTGTGATTCAGGCGAATAGAGACTGGAACCTGACCGGAGCATGGACAATTTGGAGACCACAAAACTAAGGACCCAGGCAGCCTGCAAGGGGCTCGCAATTTGACCTACTCCAGACAGGGATAACCTTACATTAAGGCCGAGGTCAATAGTACAGTCCATGCCATTGAGTGCAAGTGCTTCATTCGGGTGCAAATGTCTGAGACACGGCTGTGGACCATGGTCATTCTGCACATGAATCAGGAGTCCAAACAAACCTTTCTCTTGCAGACGCTTCTCTGACAAAGCAAAGCCCCGGCATCAACAGGGACAAGGCCTAAGCTGAGAACCCCAAGCATGAAGTGCCGTGGGCGCTACACCTTCTGAGGAAAGCAAGAATCCAGGATACCTACCATCATCTGCTCCAAATGCAGCTCGCTCTGCATCATCCAATGTCAGGGCTAACTCATCTCTTGGGTCCCATTTGGCAATGTATGGAATAAGACATTTCACGGCAGGAAGATTGGCTATAGGGGTCCAACTCTTTAGTCCAACACCTCCAATAGACGGGTCTGTGAGAAGCCACCATGTTCGTGATCGCCTGCATGGCCAAACTTCATGAAGGTGCAGGTCAACTTGCTCCTTTTTGAAACCGGTCAGTGAGGTGAACCGATCAATGCACTGAGCTACAAACTTGTCACTACCGGCCGGAGTGACACACTCAAGCAACACAACTTTGGATTGCAAGTAGTATGCAGCTTTCAGGGATTTGGGCAAAGAGGCAGCCCGAGGGTCCTGACCACTTTTCCTATCACCGAGCACACTGAAAGGCTGGCAGCTAAACCCTGCCGCAAAAATTTTGGCCCCATCAGCTTTTCTCCACACTTCTGAAATTACTGAGACATCACCAATATCCCCGGTAACAATTTCAGCTTCAGAATGCAAAGAGTGAAGATTGGACATGAGGACGTTGGAGTCGACCGCAACCGTAGTCACCACACCCACTGCTTGAGCTCCATGCGAGATCCCTCCTATCCCCGAACAACAGTCAATCATCTTCTGCATATCCACCCAGTTAGGAACTGCATGAGTAAGAACCCTGGTCTGAGAACATGCACGAACCAAAGGAACCGGAAATTGCTTCACAACCTCCACATCGCACAAAGTGTATCGTGCAAAGCCAGCTGGGAGCAACCCAGCAAAGAAGCAAATGGCCCCTGAGTGAACCACTCTCAGCTGATGGGAATCATGTGAGGAATCCACCACAACAGGTTCAACCAATAACGTAATCATCTGTCCATTATCAGTTTCAGAAAAGTCCATGGGGAAAGATTCGCATGCCATGGCAAACACGAGGGACAACAACGGCTCAAGGTTTAGAAAGTCCAGCCGCACCGCTGGGAGGCAACTTGAGCATCACGGCTGTTCCAAACCACCAACCAGAAGGTATATCCCATTAATATCCCATTAAATCACTATAAAATCCCATTGAATCACTATAAATCCCATGAAAAACCACTATAAAATGTGGCTCAGACATGGGGTGTCCCCTGTTTTCAGACATTTCCCGAGCTTTACAGTTGGTGGAATGTACTAGATCGGCGGCCATCATTTTCCACCATGGATTGCAATGGATTTTAATACGTTACCATAGATTTACCATGGATTTCTCCGATGGATTTCAAGACTTTACATCAGTTTATCCATTTATCATAGATTTATCATAGATTTACCATGGATTACCGGAGAATTGTCTATCAAACTCACAGACAATTTACCATGGATTTCCAGCCGGATGGTTGTGAACAACGGATGGTCTTCATTCAGCAGTTGTGAAGCGGGGTTGACCCATAACACAAACATTAACGCGTCTCACGTTGATTTTCAAATCCCTCTTTCCGGCCAACATTTTAAAATGCTGGATCGAAATTCCAGCTGGTTGGTGGTTAAAAGACAATCTTGAAAAATGATGAAGTTCGTCAATGGGAAGGATGACAACCCATATATTATGGAACAGAAAAGCCATGTTCCAAACCACCAGCCAGAGTCTTTTTAGGCGCTCTGTGCCTCCAAGAAACAAGTTGTTGAAACTTACCACATTTGGCTGTAAGGCCTCCTGCGTCATCATTGATCCGGCAGCTGAGGACAACTTGCATTCATTATCATTCGGTTATATCCTAATTAAACTAGCCATCGCCAATACCAGAGGTTTTGAAAACAGTGCTTGCTTGGGGAATCTGCTGTTAAACTTTTTTTCCCCCATAAGCGCATGTCATGATCAGAACTGGTCTATGAAGCCCACCTGAGCAATCAAATGTAGGCCTATATTGGAGGTTTCCATAATGGGGGATTCCCAATAGCTGGCTGGTTTATAATATAAATCCTACTGAAATGGATGATTTGGGGGTATACCGTATACCACATGGATTGGAAACCCCCATTGAGAGCTGTCAAGAGGTTTGATTATGATCTGAGTTCCAACAATCAACCGATTGGATTTTTAGAAAAAGAAACCATCAAATCTGAGTGAATTATAATCTGGTTGGTGGTTGAGCCACTCCTCTGAAAAATATGAGTTCGTCAGTTGGGCTTACTATTCCCAACTGAATGGAAAGTCATAAAATTCCATGGTTCCAAACCACCAACCAGATACTATTTCGCTATATTTTGCTCACCTGAAATAGTTCGGCCATTTTGGGATGATTCCTCTTGTTAACCATGGTTCCAGGCTTCGGGAGAACAGTGAGCTTGTTATAATTTACCCAGATCTGGGGGTGCCATCTGCATTTCAGATTCCCTACTTGGGGGCTTGGGGGTGCATCCTAGTAAGCGCGCCATGCCTATATATATATATATGTATGTTATATATATATGGAATGTCTCCATTTGTATATATCGTATAATTACAATTTAAGTATGGGTTATCTAAACCACTTACCCTCCCGTAATCAAACATGGCTGGGAGATTTTCATGCCCAGTCCAGTCCTCATCCATCTGCTGCAGCTTCGCAAGTCCCAAGAACCAGTTGGAGCTAATTTTGCACGCTGCCTAGGCGTCCGGCTCGTCCTATTGGTGAGATATATCCATTGCCAATCTTAGATACCCTGCAAAAAATGACAAATTCTTTGCTGGTTACTAGATATTCCCATTAATACCAAAAGACTAAAGGATTAAAGTATCCATGTAAGATTGACCTAGTATCACTGGTTCAAGGGGAAACTTGAGCTTACCTCAGTGGGTGGTCTCCCAGAAAAAAACATCATCGGGTCTGCGCGATGATAAGCCCCACAACAAGCTTGTTTTGGGGTACTTAGGGGCGCACACGCTTGGACCCAAGGAAAAAGACTTGAAAGTTTGGGCATCGGCTGAGGAAGTAAGGGAAAGCATGGTTTTATCACTGAATGCGCAGCCATTATAGTTGCCTTAAACCACTTTTTTACACTCAATTGTGCTGATGTGTCTTAGGACACAGCAACATTTATGGTAAAATTCTGTACCAGATTTGCTCCCCATTGAGCTATTGGGATCCACGGAGACCAGTTGGGACAACCCCTCTGGTGTATCATCACTGTTCCTATTGAAATTGACATTTTTTTGGGCCCAACCCCCCGATAGCAAAAGCCCACCATCTGTTCTTTCATTCCGAACTTGTGAGCGTTGCTCAAAGCATGGTAAGCATGGCCAACCCCGGATCTTGGCTGAAATTTGACACCCAAAACCTCTCCAAAAAAAGGCCTTTGAAGAAAAACCTCCGGCTACTGGGGGGTGCATGAGATGTTATGAGTGGTTATATACCAATAATTGTAATGGCTTCTATTCCAACTTATGGAGGTTGGTTCCAGAGTTGTACCCATTAACAACCCTCAACTGCACTCCTGATCGTATCACGTCGTGACGTTGTTGAGGCCGTCACCGAACATCGGTAAACCGTCATAATCCTATATTGGGGCTAGTGTATTCCAGTTCATGGCATAATTATATAATTGACCATGATTAAATCATTCTTATCCCACTATGATCCTATATCAAACCATATCTGGTTGGTGGTATACCTACCCCTCTGAAACATGAGTTCGTCAGTTGGGATGATTATTCCCAAGATATGGAAAGTCATAAAATTCCATGGTTCCAAACCACCAACCAGTTATAGATGATTTTCCCAGCTATAAACCTTCATTTACAGGGGAATAATCATCCCATAACCAGTAACCAGTAATCCGGATTATCCGATCAAAATCCCATTCAGGCACCGGCTGGATCCCAGAAATTCAGTGGTTAAAACGCTTTTGGTCACCTCACGGTCCATTCCCAGGCACCAAGAGGTTGTTAAAGCAGATCCTGTTTGGCACCTCCTGTGTGACGTGAACGGTGATGTTCACTGGGTAGCATATGACACTTTGCTACTGAAAATGGTCCATCTATGGTTTATGGTGACTTAACCATCTTGAAAAATATTAGTTCGTCAATGGGAAGGATTATCCCATATATTATGGAAAATAAAATTCATGTTTGAAACCACCAACCAGTTGTTGATTTACCCATGAATAGCATGGTGATTTTCCATCGTTTTTTGTACGTTTACCCCATAAACTGTTCGTTGATTTATCCAGGGTGATTGTCCAGTTCGCAAACTGTCAAGGTTTACCAGAGGGTAAATGGGGATCTGGTTGGTGGTATACCTACCCCTCTGAAAAATATTAGTCAAATGGGATTATTGTTCCCAATATTTGGACAAATAATCCAAATGTTCCAAACCACCAACCAGGGATGGGTCAAAACCATGTTTTTTTTTCGAGAAAAACCATCCATTTTTCGCAAACTATTTTAAGGTACCATCCGGGTACCAGATTTTTTTTGACCCACAACCACATGGAGGTTTCCGTTTTGTCATGGGGGTACCCCTAGTTCTCATCCAGCGATGATTTTCGGATTTTCGGATTAACCATCCGAGCTATTAGGTTATATTGGTGCACCCCCATCTATTTGGAAATCCATAAATGTGACTGGAGAGTGGTTGTTCACTTTGGTGGCTGCTTTTCGATGATGGAGGAAAACTGTAATCATATCCCATGTGAAAAGTGCTCCAAACCCTGTCATTCTTCATTCTGCTTGATTCATTGGACTTCCCATGATGATCATAGTGGATGATGATGATCTCCAATATATCAACCAACTATCATTAAAGATAACAAAAGCAGTTATACATCTATATATCCCCACGTTTTTTGATGGTTAAGAACCCTATAAATGATGATTGACCCCTCATTCATCAACCATTCAGCTGACGTTTCTATCATGCCTCCAGCGTCGTCATGCCATCCATTACTTGGAGGGATAGGCTCCACCTGAAAAAGAATGGGGAGAGATCAGAAAGGCTGAAATTGTTGCCAGAAATAAACTACTGGTTGGTGGTTTTAACAATCTTGAAAAATATTAGTTAATGGGAAGGATGACAACCCATATATTGTGGAAAAATAAAACATGCTCCAAAGCACCAACTAGGAAATATATTCCAACTGGTATACCTACCCCTCTGAAAAATGATGGAGTTCGTCAGTTGGGATGATGATTCCCAACTGAATGGAAAGTCATAAAACATGTTCCAGTCAGCACCAACCAGTTATATTCATTGTTATTCCAAAAAAATTAGCCATTATTAACCATAGTAATTAACCATAGATTCACCAGGAAAATTCCAGTCGCTTCCAGTCAGCACCAACATGCGGAAACCCAACGGATTGATGGCACATGTTTCGGGGAAACTCCGTTCACCATTGAGTAGGGAATATATGGATACCCCCAGCTCCTTAGCTGCCTCATCAGTCCTAATCGTCCAAGTCATATCGTGTTCTGTAATACATATGAGAGGTTGTTCATTGATATCACCATGGAATGACGTGAAACAAATCTAATGCACCCTCTGGTAATTTAACATAGCTATTGGAAAATGGCCATAGAAATAGTTGATTTACCCATTGAAAATGGTGGATCTTTCCATAGCTTTTCGTATGTTTACCAGGCCGGGTAGCTGGATGTTGGAATATGTGGTTATCCCAAACCTCGCGAGAATTGCCAACAGAAACCCCTTCACCAACCATTCACCGTACTGGTTGGGTTTGATGAATTGATTCCTGGACAAGTACCAATTATCTATTTGTTGAATTTCACGATAATTAAATTGATTATAAAATGCATCAACTTCTCCTGGATCAAGTTTCGCTACATGTATTTTTGCTGGAACAACAAAGAAATGTGGATCAATCCCGTTCTGGTTGGTGGTTGAGCCTACCCCTCTGAAAAATGATGGAGTTCGCCAGTTGGGATGATGATTCCCAACTGAATGGAAAGTCATAAAATTCCATGGTTCCAAACCACCAACCAGATTAGTATACCATTCATATTCCATTTTCACCATTATACCATTAGTATACCATTAGTAAACCGTGTTCCAAACCACCAGTGTTTCTTGATCCGCCCTTTGGACGAGCCACTTTTTGTGACGGACGCCGGCGCTCATGATGGTACTATAGGAAGCTAAGTCCCGTTCAAGTCCTAAACGACATCAATGGTGGGAACAAAAATCTTCCCCACCAAATGGGATTGTCACAAAATAGAATACCCCCAAATTTCATGCTTTATCATCATTTTCCCTATTCAAATAACATCAAATAACCATTTCGATGCAATACACCATTTTAGACACAGCCAAACTAAAGACATTGGGTCATTTGTTGGGTGTTATCTCTTGAATATCGGTCCCTTCAAACCTTGATTTAGTAATGGATCTATTCATTTTGGGTGCCACAGACATTTTGGGGATTCGATTACTTTTTTGTGTGTATTGTGGAACATGGATGTGAATGAAAACTTGTGATACCATATCTTGAGGGTTGAAGATCCACTTGGCTATCTATATTTTGATGTTCATTAGGGGCCCGAGTTTTGATCCATGGCTGAAAAGAAGGCAGAAAGTGGCGATGCATCCCATATTGTAGTCCAATATCATATCTGTAAAAATTATGACAAGTGACAAACCTAAACTAAGGCCATGTTGGGATAATGATACCCCAAGCCTAACAGTGATCTACAGTGACAGCACAGTGAGGTCATCATGATCCAAATACTATGTGTATCTATACATATCTGGTTGGTGGTTTTAACCATCTTGAAAATATGAGTTCGTCAATGGGAAGGATTATCCCATATATTGTGGAAAAATAACACATGTTCCAAACCACCAACCAGTATATATATATATATGGGATTCATCTCCAGATATACGAAATGTACGGGTTCAGAATTTGCCTTATCCTGGGTATCAAGCAGTACGCATGAGGAATGATTACTCTTGGGCAAATAAGACTAATATCTTTCAACAATTACCATGTTGTCTGTACTCCAGAATATGTTCAAATAGCACTTATAACATAAATCAGTGTAATTAGACCACTCAGTGTAATTACATAGTTGTAAGACTAACTGGTTGGTGGTTTCAACCCCTCTGAAAAATATTAATCACTGGGAAGGATTATCCCATATATCATGGAAAACAAAAAATGTTCCAAACCACCATCCAGATAATACCCTTCAATCAATTGCGCTGTGTTTGGGGTCTAATAACTCATAAATCAAACAAAACACCACGATGGGATCTTGAAGGGACCGGTTGGTCACGATGGAATCTGCAGAATCCCGGTGGAATATGATAATCCCTAATATATCAATCACCAAAAACAACAATACGCACACATATATATATATATATGCATGCACATTCATATGTCATCAATACAATATCAAGATATTTTGATTTTATTTCTGATATAATTCAACATCATTGTATATAATCATGAAATATATTGAAATATCAATTGTGCACGTTCAATCACATTCAGCAAAATGTCGTCCGAGCCGCGCCCCGCTCCTTCGTTGCAAAGAGAGCTAAAACACCAAAGTGCCAATCCTTGACGCAAAGAAACTGAGAAATCAGAACTCAGGTTGGATACGCCCTGAATGGTACTTGGTGGCTCATCCCACGTAGTAAGTGGGTTAGTTCACCCCAGTTATAAGTGGATTAACCCTACTTATCCCATGTCAATCACTGGGGTTATAACCCACTTACGATTCGTGGGATGAGCCACCAAGTATGAAAAACTGACATATCTATGCCAAAGCAAGGGTTATCAAGTGAGGCCTGGTATCCTGGTTATCCAGAATCGGGAGTTTCAGCCCGCAAATTACCATACCCTCCATTAGCCTATGAAAAACTGGCGGATCATTGAGCTATTTTTTTTCAAAGTGGTGATTTGCCATATGTTAAATTACCAGAGGAGAATACAGACTCTGAAAATTTCCAAGTTTATAGATATATCTGGCAGAGGTTTTCCAAGTTTATAGATATATCTGTATCCCCTAGATATATCCCCTATTTATTGTTTATATTGCCATATGTTAAATTGACAATTTCCAGAAAGTCGTTTTCCAATCCCTTTTTTTCTGGCAGGCTTTGTGACAGTTGGGGATGGCTTCAAAACAAAACTACTTGGGGCTTGGATATGGCTGAGTTATGATCATTCAACAACTTGAAGCAAGGTGGAAAACTCCGGCTTTCACGGGAATTTTTGTTACAACCAGGATCTCAAGTGATGTCCTTGTAACGTAGCTATAATTCAGCCTCCGAAGCCTTGCGAACAAATCCACTTAAACTCTTATAACACCGACAAACAAAAAACAACAACATGTAGTTATTTCTCTGGCCACCACCTAGTTGATGTCTGAGCCATAGAATACTGTTTGATGTCTCAAAATGAATGCGTGTGTGGATTCACCTCTATTCATCTGTTTGTTTCTCTCCTAGGCACGAGCTGAAGTATGCTACGTCCATGTACTTGCACAATCGGGAGGGTAACCACCAAAGCTATCAAGGTCAAGGTGATTCTCAAAGATACCTACAGGATGGGCCCCCCAAGATAGCTAAGTTAATGGTAGATTCGATATAACGAACTAGTTAATGGGTTTTATATAGAATGGTTTATAAACCAACAAACACCACTGGGGGGCACAATCCTGTGTCAAACAATCTAATTTTTAGCTGCTCAGTATATTTTATTGTCGATAGCAACATATTGAAGTAGTAAAGTATCTAACAATCAAAGGTTTACCCAGACGGCGGGTTTGGGTGCCGTAGCATTTGTCAGAACGTTTACTGGACAATGAATCGCGGAAACAAATCTCACAGCCTTACACTTTCAGATAGAAACGATGGATAATTGTATCTGCAATCTCATGAAACCGGCCCATTTGTAGCAATACATCTATCCATCTATCGAATCATCCATTCATTCATGCATCCATTCATCCATCTATCCATCCACCTATCTATCCATGTATCCATCTCTCTCTATCTCTGCAAATATAAATGTATATAAATAACTATATAATAATATATGTATATATATATACACTGTATATACATTATATCATGTGGAAGGAAACAATTGCATGGTTCCTGTCACAGTCAACAGGCTTAAAAACAATGCGACTCACAGTCCAAAACCTCCCAGGGATCCCAGTGCGAGAATCCCCATTCACCGGTTTTTTTCAACCTGAGACGATAGCCAACCGTGAGTTGTGCCAATGTTTTGCTAGGCGGCCAAGGAATACAGACAATATATGTGTGTATATATATATATAATGTGCACATATATATATATAGTGTATAGCACACACATATCTATGAATATATAATATATGTAAAAATAATGTATATATATATATAAATAATCTGTAGATATACATATATACACATGGTGTATAACGGACACATGTATGTCTATGAATATATGTGCACATACAAATAAATATGTAGTAAAGATATGATGGACATACACAAATGAACGATAATAAACATACATATCTATAATGTATGTATAAAAATAAAAATGACCTTACCAAAACCATCCAATAACATAGAATGATGTGCATGCATGTTGATATGCGCACATACTTTGAATGTACCAGGCAACAATTAAAGACATTACACGTATAGGCAGATGTGAAGAGGCACGGATGTGGTCTGTTAAAATCATGCTTTATTTTCTTTACGAGCTACGTATTGCCCAGTCACATGCCCCACACACGCACACAAAATCACATGCCCCAGTCACATACGTTTCTGCCACCTAAAAATCGAATGCCAGAGACAATGAACATGCGTATCTATCTTCATTCGAAGGAAATTTAGAAGTCAAACTTCCGACAATATGGACACATGGAAAAGCAGAGGTGGGAAGAGGCAGAGAGAAGAGAAAGATTAGAAGAAAGAAGAGTAGAAGAGAAAGAGTCAGAAGAAAGAAGATGCAGGTGCGCGAAAAGACAGGAAAGTCGCGAAACACTGTGTTTTTCCAATGATTTGTGGCTCCGGAGGGTCGAAAAGTAGGCTCGCTAAAGCGGCGGGTGCGGAGCCATGTGGTCAGATGAGAAATGAAAAAATGCACGCCGTTGTGGTGCGAAGCACATTTGCAAGTAAAAATTTCAAAAAACTGAAGGGTTCGGAGCACTTTTGGACGTTCAGATGTCGTTTTCCGTGGCAGGCGCAGGGGATTGTGCACCTTGTCAAAAATAACATAGAATGATGTGCATGCATGTTGATATGCGCACATACTTTGAATGTACCAGGCAACAATTAAAGACATTACACGTATAGGCAGATGTGAAGAGGCACGGATGTGGTCTGTTAAAATCATGCTTTATTTTCTTTACGAGCTACGTATTGCCCAGTCACATGCCCCACACACGCACACAAAATCACATGCCCCAGTCACATACGTTTCTGCCACCTAAAAATCGAATGCCAGAGACAATGAACATGCGTATCTATCTTCATTCGAAGGAAATTTAGAAGTCAAACTTCCGACAATATGGACAGATGGAAAAGCAGAGGTGGGAAGAGGCAGAGAGAAGAGAAAGATTAGAAGAAAGAAGAGTAGAAGAGAAAGAGTCAGAAGAAAGAAGATGCAGGTGCGCGAAAAGACAGGAAAGTCGCGAAACACTGTGTTTTTCCAATGATTTGTGGCTCCGGAGGGTCGAAAAGTAGGCTCGCTAAAGTGGCGGGTGCGGAGCCATGTGGTCAGATGAGAGATGAAAAATTGCACGCCGTTGTGGTGCGAAGCACATTTGCAAGTAAAAAATTCAAAAAACTGAAGGGTTCGGAGCACTTTTGGACGTTCAGATGTCGTTTTCCGTGGCAGGCGCAGGGGATTGTGCACCTTGTCAAAAGTGAGCAAAACGTAAGGGTTTTGTAGCGGGTCCTAAAAAGATGGCAGGCGTGGGACATTTGAAGAGGATCTGCAAAGATGCATTCGCGTGGCAGGCGCAGTACAAGAGACACATGAGCCAGATGTGTTAGGAGATGAGGGCGGAGATTTCCTGAGAAGAGTTGCTTTTTGGAGCATGAGACCTTCAGGTTTGCTAAGATGATTTTGCGTGACAGGTGCAGCACTTCGTATGACCTGGCATCACTCTTTCGTGGCAGGCGCAGTACTTTAGACAGATGGAGTGGAAAAATCGCAAACCGCAACGGTATGAGGCCATCAGCTCTGCACTCAACGCTCCATTTTTGAAGGAAGTCTCGCAGAATTGCTTCGTTTTTTTTTCTGTTGTCAACTTGGAAAATGAATGATAGAGGAAAACCAGCACGTATACCATATGGCTGGTGGTTTCAACCTAAATTCATCGTTTCTATTGTTCATCATGGTAGTCCACAAAACAATTCGCCATCTTTTGCTGGTTGAATTGGTATTTTCCATTTATAACAAAAATAAGGATTATAGTACCCATCTAGGCGGAAGAGGATGATTTCCATCATAATTTCCATCAATATTTTTTGATAATAAACCATCATAACGAACCATCATCATAACCCATCCATTTATGGACACTTCCATATTTATCGTTTTTATTGTTCTATCCCTTCAAAGACCTTGCCATGGACCTGGCAACTTGTGGAGTCACAAGCAACGCATCGAGCGCCATGTTCTGGGAAAAGGAGGCGCGTTCAGTTCCTTTTACGGCTTGATAGACCTTCAGTTTTTTGTCCAAAATGGATGGCTGAAACCCAAGCAAAACCCAATCAAAAAGCCAGCAAAATATGGAGAAACCACCAACAAAATGGTGTATACCAGCAGATTGTTTGGGCTTCAACAGCTTCACCGACATTTTGTGAAGAGTCCAGAATGGAAAATTTTGAGCATATGAGAAATGGTCTTAAACGTTTTAGCATGATTTTAACAGATTTTAACCATTGACAAAATAGGAAGGATTCAATCTCCAAAAGATAGGCCATAAAAGTGGTAAATAGATCTAAAACATTGGGTTTATCATATGTGCCATATTCAAATCACAGTGTATGGATTATGGTCATCCATCTCCGATTGGAAATCCAAATGTTACGGGCGGGTTAATCTAAATTCCTGAGATTCCTATGGGATAGATTGATTATGGACATTCCCCCAAAACAAAATATAACACAAATGCGTAGATCCTCCAACTTTTGCTTGTAGTTGGTTATATATCCCACTATATTCCCATGAATTAATATCCATTCGATTCCCATTTTCAATGGATAACCATCACCTCAAAAACAGTGAAATTTTGGTCAATAATTGCGGATTTGAAGTCAGCTTAGTCGGCTTCATGGTCGTCCGACTGGGGTTGATGTTGAAGGCCAACTGCTCATCAAAGTGGCCAACTGATGCTTGTGAAACAAACCTACTTGATGCCTCATCCCACGAATCCTAACTAGGTTAGTTCACCCTAGTTATAAGTGGATTAACCCTACTTATCCCACTGAAAAAACCGGGATATAACCTACTTAGACAAAGCTATGCCAGCCACATTGGAGGCCGAGGGCTACACAGTGACCGGCAATGCTTGGCTATGACCTCTGTCTTCTTCAATCTCCAACCAACGTGATCGTGGCATGGTTCAAATCCACTATTTTATGAGAAAAAACGTTAAAAATGGAAGTTTCAATGGGAAATCCTCTATAAATGGTTAGTTTTCAATGGAGACATTTGATTACCGGAGGGTTTCAATGGGGATAGCTATGGGATAATGGGATAATTGTGGGACATTTTTTCTGTCATAGAAAAGGTGGAAACCTGGAAATGATTGAGGAATATAATCTGCTTCAGATTCTGGAGCCACTTTTCGAGATCTTGTTTTTACCATTCCTATTCTGGGATAATAGTGGGATGATTCTGGGACAATCATGGGACAACTATAATCAAATTATCCCTAGTTTGTGACTAATTTGTGGGTCATTATTGGGTACTTTGGACGAGGTAGAATTCTTGAAGGATCATCCCACTTTGTAGGTCAATAAACCTAGTTGGATCTAGTTGGTAAGTCCCCAGTAGGGTCATCCCATTTGTAAATAAGTTAAATAGGTTATAACTATGGTTGTTAACCACTTACAATCCGTGGGATAAACCTCCAAGTAGCTCCTTGTGGCTATCATTTACCTGTAGTGGGCTGAAGCAAGCCTGTGAAAATTATGGGCTTAGCACATTAGTTGGTTTATCCTTGATTGCAAGATGAGAGATACACTTTTAAACAACCGATCTTTCGATCCGCTTTTGAGTGACAGTTTGTTTTGTCACGTGAAACCAATTCATTCAGATTATGGATTGGTATAGCTGTCAAGAACAATACTACACACGGATGTTGGAAACCTCATGTGCAAGTCACACCGCAGCGTTTCTCTGCACGAACGGTCGCTGGATATATCTTAGCTCCCGGCCCCACACCATCATGGATGATGTGCAAATATTATGCAAGGGCTAACCTGCTAAAAGGCAACGTATTCTGAGGAATGATCATCCAAGCATATGAATAATCGAAGGAAATTTAGAAGTCAAAATTCTGACAATATGGACAGATGGAAAAGCAGAGGTGGGAAGAGTCAGAGAGGAGAAGAGCAGAAGAGAGATGATCAGAGAAGAGAAAGAGTGAGAAGAAAGAAGATGCAGGTGCGCGAAAAGGTAGGAAAGCCGCGAAACACTGTGTTTTTCCAATGATTTGTGGCTCCGGAGGGTCGAAAAGTAGGCTCGCTAAAGTGGCGGGTGCGGAGCCATGTGGTCAGATGAGAGATGAAAAATTGCACGCCGTTGTGGTGCGAAGCACATTTCCAAGTCAAAATGTACAAAGCACCATATGCTGAGACCACTTTTGAAAGTTGTGATGTCGAAAAAGTGCACGCCATTGTGGCGCGAAGCACATTTTCAAGTCAAAATGTACAAAGCACACCGTGCTGAGACCACTTTTGAAAGTTGTGATGTTGAAAAAGTGCACGCCGTTGTGGCGCGAAAGCACATTTCCAAGTCAAAATGTTAACCACATGCTCGGACCACTTTTGAAGGTTCAGATGTGGTTTTGCGTGGCAGGCGCAAGGGATTCTGCACCTTGCCCAAGTGAGCAAAACGTGAGGGTTTTGTAGCATGTCCAAAAGAGACACATGAGCTAGATGTGTTAGGAGATGAGGGCTGAGATTTCCTGAGAATGGTAGCATTTTGGAGCATGAGATCTTCAGGTTTGCTAAGATGATTATGCGTGACAGGTGCAGCACTTCGCATGACCTGGCGTCACTTTTTCGTGGCAGGCACAATAGTTTAAACAGATGGAGTGGAAAAATCGCAAAACGCATTGGTAAGAGGCCGTCACCTGTGCTCTCAAATTTCCATTTTTGAAGGAAGTCTCGCAGAATTGCTTCGTTTTTTTCTGTTGTCAACTTGGAAAATTGAGGACGTCTCGCAGAATTGCTTCCTTTGTGACATTGTCAAGGTCAAAAATTGAGGATGTCTCGCAGAATTGCTGCGTTTTTTGATGTTGCCAAGGTCAAGAATTGAGGAAGTCACGCAGAACAGGTTCGTTTTCAAGCTTGCAGATAGACATACAGATAGATAGACAACTACAACTACACTACTAGTACTAGTACTAGTACTAGTACTAGTGCTACTACTACTACTGCTACTCCTACTACTACTACTACTACTACTACTACTACTCCTACTCCTACTCGTACTCCTACTCCTACTACCACTGCTACTACACATATACTACGCTACATTACGCTACACTAATTTCACTACATTACACTAACTACGCTACACTACGCTACACTACGCTAGTTGCAGTACACTACACTAATCACACTACAACATCTACAACTACAACTACAAGTACCGCCCAGCGCCGTACTTTGGCCAGAGAGGTTTTCTACTGGGTTCAGAAAGCGACGTTAGGCAGTAGCCTGGCTTTAAACGTCTCCCGGCGCCCTTGACCGCCTTTGGTACACAGCATCCTCCTGCGACTCCGAGAGCTCTTGAAAATATCTGTGGCTTTGCAGAGCTTTGTTCTGTATATTTATTTGTTTCGCCTACAAGGATTCGACTCGCAAGAAGGAACTGCTGTATCTTGTCTTTGAATTCATGCTTCTGGGGTCAGAAGCAACAGGCAAAAGAACTGGTAATCAATCTTTGACTTCTAAGCACCTATATTTTGCTATATTTGTGTTGTCTACTCTACCCCCCAAAACAAATGGACTTTACGGTTCCAGGTGTGTTGCTCTTCACATGGCGGGCTCAAACCAGCTGCGCTGATCGAGGGTACACTACACTCATTACACTACACTACACCACAACTGCAACTACGACTACAGCTACACTAGATTGCACAACAATACATCACAACTGCAACCGCACTACATCGAACCATACTACACTACATCACACTACACTACATCACACTACACTACACTAATGACACTACACTAGACTACACTGCAACTACAACTATAGTAACTATAGTTGCACTACACTACACTACACTACACTACATTAGACTACACTAGACTATATTACACTACAGTACACAACACTACAGTACAGTACACTACACTACACTGACTACACCACACCACAACTACAACTGCAACTACACTACACCAATTACACTACACTACAGCTACAACTTCATTACACTACACTGCAACTACAACTACACCTGCGCTGACCACTGCAACCTTTACAATCACCACAAAAAAACAGAACTCCGACCACCTTTTGGTCCATCAGTGGATTCGCTCTGCCATCCATGCATCACAACAACTCACCTCTCCTATAGTGTCCTATCTTTGAAACTTCCGCCACCGCCTTGTGCGGTACTACTGGTACATATATTATGGAGCACACCTGCAACAAAGAAAGCGAACCCCCCAATCCTGAATTGTAGACCCTCCACTCTGGAGGTCAAAGATGTAAAAACAGGGTGCTACTGGCGAATTACCAAGGGCAATGGACCCGGCCCCAACCTGCATGGCACGTTGCCATTCATGACTTTGTCCACAAGCTTTCAAGACTGCGTTCCTCAGATTGTGCAGCAGAGTCAGAAGCGTATGCCCATGCTCATGGTCATGTTCAGAAAAAAACATAATGCTATGCATGTTCGTCCCCGAGGTTGAACCATACCAATCTTCTTGCTGGTATTGAGAACCTATATCGCTTCTTGAGGGAAGTTTTCATCAGCAGTTTATGAAAGGTATCGATGCCGCCTGGCCCCCCTAGATACCTACCTGTATATATATATATATGTATGTATATATGTATGTATGTATGTATGTATGTATGTATGCATATATATATACACACTATATATATATATATATACACATACATACATATATACATAAATTAAATGGATTATAATCATAGTTACTAACCTTACCTTACGATCAGGTGGGATAATCCTGGCTGAATTCTTTGAACTCACCAACCACCGATCCAGTGGTTCTACCTGGTGTATTGGGGATAGCTGTATGATTACCATTGAATAAACGGGATACCTATCAAAGCTATCCACAAACCAGTACACTGGGATGGAATATGGTTATTTTTTTAATTTAAAATATTGATTTTTGTTTATCGATAAAAAACAACATCAACGCTGGATTTTCACTTTTGCCATTGTATTTTTCATCGCGCACGTGGATGATTTAGCTGGGATGATTCTGCAAGCATATTCAGACTGGGCTGACTGGTCGCCATAGTAGCCATGGAAACAAAGGAGTTCTAGAAATTTTGGTACCCTAAAACATATTTTGGGGTTCCTAACATGGGGCTACCCCAAACATGGAAATTCCTACTCAAATGGATGATTTAGGGCTATCCCCATGACTTAGGACACCTCGTCTCCTCGATATTTTGATGCCACAATCCTCATAAATCTGGCTGCACAAGCTGATTATTCACCTTAAAATAGCTGAGTTGTGTTGGGACAGGGAATGATTCACCAAAAAAAACCAACATGATTCCAGTGACATCTCGTGGTCATAGTTCATCCAGATTCCAAGGTACCCCGATTCTTGGAGAAACCAAAAATGCCAATCTTGGATTACACATCTGTATAACTTCATAAGAAGTTTGCCCTTGAAGAAAGATAGAAATTGCTATTGGACACGGGAGCCAAATTGGAAACATGATAAGGTACTTTAAGAAATTGAATGGCTCAATTCAGTTTGGCACCTTAAAGAGTTTCAGCCATTCCTCTGCTTGAGGAACTTTCGCAAAAGGCTGGTACAACTGCGGGTTGGTAGGTAGAGGTAGTAGGTAGTAGGTAGTGCCTATTTTGTGAACCAAGGGGGGGTCGCAAGAAAATCAAATCCCAGAGTGCAGTGAACTGCTCGACCCTATGAGAGCGAGCTCTCAAAAATTGCTATGGTGCACAGGCCTCAGAAATCCCAGAATGCAGTGAACTGCTCGACCCTATGAAAAAAAATCAAATCCCAGAGTGCAGTGAACTGCTCGACCCTATGAAAAAAATCAAATCCCAGAGTGCAGTGAACTGCTCAACCCTATGAGAGCGAGCTCTCAAAAATTGCTATGGTGTACAGGCCTCAGAATGCAGTGAACAAGGTGATGCCCCCCATAGTAAGTATAGTTATAAGTGCCAATTTCAAAGCAGCAGCTTCCTCACGCTCTTGACCCGCTTCTAGGTTTCGCTTCCTGGAAACGACTCCATCGCGGGACAAAAACAACAGCTTCTCATAGGTCACTGAAGAAATCTTCCGCTGCTTCCATAAGGTTTCCGGCCACGTCCCGAGTACCTGATATGTCTTCTCGCAGGAAACCCAGCACGGCAAGTAGTTGCCTGTGGAGCTGGCGTTCGGATCCTGGCGGCTTGCCTCACATCGCTCCATCGAGGCACACCACTTTGCTACACCCCACTCAACCAGATGGTCTTTCACAGACAGCCTGCCACATATCCACCTCAACACCGTGATAGATCAGCAACACTTCAAAAGAGGGAATGTTGTAGGGGTGTCCCTTCTTCTCCTCCATTCTCAATTAGTATCGCTCTTCGTGTTGACAATCATTTATGGGATTTGGTCTCTGCTGCTTTCCCTTGTTGTTCAACACGAGCAATGAAAAATAGCCCCGTCTCATCCCATGCTGGTTTATTCGGTATCCCAGGCCATTGTACTGGTAATATATCTGGCAATAGATGGCAATAGGATGCAATAGGCATCTCATGAACTGTGGCTTACTATAACCCCTCCCCCCAAAAAAAAGTCGGACCCAGTAATGTTGGTTCCTGATTAGAGGCCCCCCCCCTCCCTCCCCTCAACAATAGCTCCTCTTTAGAGTGGAGCGCCAAAAACTTTCTTTCCAGGAAAACAAAAATCTGCACTTAAGTAAGGATAAAAATTGGCTACAATTGACACCAAATTAAAACCTTTTTTTTTGCCGATGTACTTGTAGTACTTGTAGCACTTGTAGTGAGTGGGGTTCAGCATGTTGATCGCGTTACTTTTCCACCTTAGGTTTTTTTCTTAATGAACCATGCAATAAAGAAAGAGAAAGAGAAAGAGAAAGAAAAGAGAAAGGGAACGAGAGAAAGAGAAAGAAAGAGAGAGGAAGAGGAAGAGGAAGAAGAAGAGGAAGAGAAAGAGAAAGAGGAAGGGGAAGAGGAAGAGGAAGAGAAAGAGAAAGGATAAGAGAAAGAGAAAGAGAAAGGAAAAGAGAAAGAGAAAGAGAAATGGAAAGAGAAAGAACAGGTTGCTTTTGTAAAAGGCTGTTCTTTCTTCTCTGCTGAAATTGTGAACCTGGAGAACAAACCTACTAAAGTGAATTGGACCCGCTCATGGCCCAGTGCCTTGGAAATTTGCGGAAAAACTGTTCTTTAATAAGGGTTTAATAAGGGGTCTGATTCTTTTGGGAAAGGTTTGGACTTTGAATTTGTGTGGAAAAGGCCTTTCTTCTCTTGGCTCCAGGATCAGCTCTGGAAAAGTTTGTTGCAATTGTGAACCCTGAGAACAAACCTACTAAAGTGAATTGGACCCTCTCATGGTCCAGTGCCTTGGAAATTTGTGGAAAAACTGTTCTTTAATAAGGGTTTAACAAGCGGTCTGATTCTTTTGGGAAAGGTTTGGACTTTGAATTTGGCAATTGCTTGTGGAAAAGGCCTTTCTTCTCTTGGCTCCAGGATCAGCTCTGGAAAAGTTTGCTGCAATTGTGAACACTGAGAACAAGCCTACTAAAGTGAATTGGACCCTCTCATGGCCCAGTGCCTTGGAAATTTGTGGAAAAACTGTTCTTTAATAATCTTTAATAAGGGTTTAATAAGCGGTCTGATTCTTTTGGGACAGGGAGACAAATGTTGCTGATTAATGTTTGTGAAAAAGCAATATTTTTTGTTCAGAAAAAATGTTCAGATTTTTGACACAAACATTTTTTAAGACAAAAAACATACCCCCCCAAGATTTCTTGCCACAAAAGCGAACCATCCAAACAATGCATGGGTTCAGAATAATTTGGAAAAATTGCCACAATAGCGAACCTATCCACTAATCAGCATCCAACATTATACACAACCCAACCAACGGAGGGTGCTTTTCATGGTACCCTCTGGTAATTTAACATAGCTATTGAAAATGGCCATTATAAATGGATTTTCCCATATAAAATGGTGATTTTCCATAGTTATGTTAGTTTACCAGAGGGTAACCGCTCAAGTGTCTGTCCATAGTTACTGCATTGCCAGGACTTCGATGTGATCCCTCCCATGAGCTCGCAGGCCTGGCCAGGTGGCCATGGGAGTTTCGTTTTCGCACGTGGTCAACGAACATGGTTACCCTCTGATAAAGTAACAGTTTGCTATTGAAGATGGCCATAGAAATCAAAGAAATAGCTGACTTTCCCATGAGAAATGGTGATTTTCCATATAGTTTTTTCGTATGTTTACCAGATGGAAAAACCCTCCGGTAAACATGGCTTGCTGAAAAATCCCACCATTTATACTTCGATCATTTTCCCAGATCGGAGATTTCCCAGCCAAAAAAGGCACGGACCTGGCAAACGTGTGCACGATGCTGTCATTCTGTGGATGGAATCACACTTCGGGTTTCAAATGAACTTCGCAGCCGCAAAAATGGGACACTTCAAAGAGTTCCGCATGACGAACATCTGCCATAAGTTTAGACATTTGCAGACACTTGCAGCCTTCCGGCCTCCACTTTGTGACGAGGCCAATGCAAATACAGAATCATGGCTTTGTAAGCAACATTTGGGCAAATTATATTGATTCCTTACTCAGAAAGAGATGAAAGAAACCTGTTCTGGGAGTATTTCCTTTAATGTGGAAACCCAATGCCACAAAGCTACTATTTGAGGATGGTTGTTATACCACCCATTTATGGTAAGTCATCGCGGATGGTTTATGGCATCGGCTTTACCACATAATATCCAACATCTCATCATTTCTAATTAAATTGCATGAATATCCCATTGCCAATCAGCCAGATACCCTGCAAAAAGTGACAAATTCTTTGCTGGTGAACGTAGATATTCCCATTAATACCAAACGACTAAAGGATTAAAGTACCCATGTAAGATTGACCTAGTGAATTCATTTACATTCAATTTTACTACTTTTACGGTAACCTTGTTCTGTCCTCGATGTACGAGTACCAACTTTTTCGTGACGCGGTGGCTCCCACAAATCGGATCCGGTGTTCACTTCATTTTTTGCATGATTCATGGTCAATCTTTCATAGTCCACACAAAAATCTCATCTTTTGCTGGTTGAACTGTTATTTTCCATTTATAACAAAAAAATTACTTTACTTCGTGTGATCCCCACCATGACATGTATACATTTTGTTACTGGCAAATCTTCTGGCATTCTATCTGACATTTTATCTGGCATTCTATCTGGCATACCTTCTGGCATTCTATCTATCATACCTTCTGGCATTTTACCTGGCATATCTTCTGGCATTCTATCTGGCATATCTTCTGGCATATTATTTGGCAAATCTTCTGGCATTCTATCTGGCAAACATTCTGGCACTTTATCTGGCATACCTTCTGGCATTCTATCTGGCATATCTTCTGGCATTCTACCTGGCATATGTTCTGGCATATCTTCCGGCATTCTATCTGGCATATCTTCTGGCATATTATCTGGCAAATCTTCTGGCATATTATCTGGCAAATCTTCTGGCATTCTATCTGGCAAACATTCTGGCACTTTATCTGGCATATCTTCTGGCATTCTATCTGAAATTTTATCTGGCATTCTATCTGGCATACCTTCTGGCATTCTATCTGGCATATCTTCTGGCATTCTATCTGACATTCTATCTGGCATATCTTCTAGCATATCTTCTGGCATTCTATCTGACATTCCATCTGGCATATCTTCTGGCATTCTATCTGGCCGTTGAGGTCCGGCAGGGAACACTTGGCGTGGATACTCGCGGTTGAGGTCCGGCAGGGAACACTGGGCGTGGATGGTCGTGGTTGAGGTCCGGCAGGGAACACTGGGCGTGGATGGTCGTGGTTGAGGTCCGGCAGGGAACACTGGGCGTGGATGGTCGTGGTTGAGGTAGGGCACGGAACACTGAGCATGGATGGTCGTGGTTGAGGTCCGGCAGGGCACACTGAGCGTGGATGGTCGTGGTTGAGGTCCGGCAGGGCACACTGAGCGTGGATGGTCGTGGTTGAGGTAGGGCACGGAACACTGAGCATGGATGGTCGTGGTTGAGGTCCGACAGAGAACACTGTGGATCGCGGGTCGCAGTTGGACGAGGAGGACGACGAGGAGGACGACGAGGAGGAGGACGACGAGGAGGAGGAGGAGAGGAGGACGAGGCAGGAGGAGGCGGAGGAGGAGGAGCAGGAGGAGGAGGAGGAGGCAACTGACATAAAATCTAACAACCCTCACCTGGCAGGTGGGGAATAAGGTTTTTTCTCTACCCATCTAGTTAGTTGAGGATGATTTCCATCATCATTTCCATCAATATTTTTTCCATAATAAATCATTAATTTTTCATCTGGTTGGTGGTTGACCTACCCCTCTGAAAAATATGAGTTCGTCAGTTGGGATCATTATTCCCAACTGAATGGAAAAATAACAGCCATGTTCCAAAGCACCAACCAGTTCATTTTTCATAGTAAATCTTTCCATTGCAAACACCGGTTGAAGTCTCCAGGATTTTCGATTGGGCCGTGGCTTCCGCGGCTTCCGTGCCTGGCTCCAGCCAAGGCGTTTCAAGAGCAGATCCAACGAGACTCGGTCGACCTTTGGGATCCTGATAGCAGCAGCTGAAGCGGCTGAAGCATTAAAGATACCCTGGTCTAGCCACGTTTGAAACCACCACATTGTAGGTACAAAATGATGCCCCCCTAGTTATGTTTGTTGGTTTATGAACCCCATGATTTATAGATACGTCTGCCATAAACCCTAGTGTCATTGGAGTTATGTTCGCCAAGTTAGCAAGGGAACCACCAAAGGTAAACATTCAGTAACCAAATTATGAATAAACATTTCGTGAATTTGTTAAACAACCCAGGAATATTCAACCTTCAGTTTAATCATACGGCATGAATCACAAGTTAATATCAATTAATATGACAGGATTAATAAATCTGATGAGATCTGGTTTAACAAATCAGTTCATATAACATTAATCAAATATTAACATCTAATATGTAGTAGCGCCAGTTTGATGCAAAGTCGTCCTTTTTGACAGAATTAGGACAAGTTTTGGGTAGCTGGTACTCCCGAATGCCAATGGCTTCCAAGTCATACATTATGTCATCTGGGCAATTTATAGTAATTCACTAAGCTGAAATAAGGCCATTTCGGAATGATTCCCCATCTAAAAACCATGATTCCAGGTTTCGGGAGAACAGTGAGGTCTTTATAAGTTGCCCAGATGTGACGGTCACCCATCCCATATATAGCGAATACTTACAATGGGTATCAATGGGTATCAATGGGTTAGTCTAAATACCCCCATCAATGGGTATATCATCCAATTTCATCCAATCGTTGGTGATATCCATGAAAAAACGAACAGTTTGCGATTGAAAATGGCCCAGTCGAAATAGTTGATTTGCCTATGAAAAATGGTGGATCGTTCCATCATTTTTTGTATGTTTACCAGAGGGTGATCCGTGATGTCCATGAAAAATATCTGTGATTTCCCATTTTTTCCCAGCATTTGACTGGCGGCACGTCGCTTGCACAAGCGTCTTTTCAAGTACTTGGAGCTGTGGGTAATGATCTGGTTGGTGGTTTTAACCATCTTGAAAAATATGAGTTCGTCAATGGGAAGGATTATCCCATATATGAAATGGAAAATAAAATTCATGTTTGAAACATTTTGAAACCACCAACCAGATATAGTTCACCATAGTGTTCAGGGGTAAAGTCTCGCAACTTAGGTGAGCTCACCATGGTTATACCGTTGTACCCATTTAATCCCATTTAATCATTTACAACCTCAACTGCAGCCCCAAGTATCATTTCATCAAGTAATTACCTTAAGATACACTTAAGATATCTGGCGCTACCAACAGAATCCCCAGCATGGATGGCCTCACGTTTGAAGCAATAGTACCAAACTTGGACACATCTCCATCTAATGTGATTAAAACAATGTCATAAACCATCCACCAAATCACCATATATAGGTGGTATAAACCATCCCCAAATGGGTAGTTTATGATTGTTTTAACCATATTATTCCAAACGGTCAAAAAGGAGTCGGTAACACGCATATCGTCCTCTGGAAGTGGCACAGAGCTTGTAGCCAGCCCACCAGGTTGGAAGACATCAGCGTGTTCTGAAGTACCTTGCGTTTTCTGCTTCGGTTGGACATGCTGGGTCAGGTTGTTGAATCAAAACGGATTCTACAATGACTGGTTGGTGGTTTTTCGCCTACCCTCTGAAAAATGATGGAGTTCGTCAGTTGGGATGATGACATTCCCATATATTATGGAAAGTCATAAAAGCCATGTTCCAAACCACCAACCAGATTAGTATACCATTAATATTCCATGTTTCACCATTAGTATATATTTTGGAAAATAATCCAAATGTTCCAGTCACCACCAACCAGATGATGTCGCACCATTCATCAAACCATCAAACCGCTAGGAAACTTCACCTGTCAAATTTCTTCACCCCCTAGTAACTCATCATTAACTGGATCAGTTGGCAACTCTGTCATCCAACCAGTATCCAACCATGGTAGTACCATGGAAGTACCGTGGTTACTTGATATGAATGGTGAATCCCACTGAAAAAAATGTTTCGATATTGCTTGGATAATGATCATTCAATAGGTTATTGACTCAAATAATCCGAAAAAAATACACTCGACAGTACGAACCGCTGATGTTGGCTTCATCTTCGTCCATCCAGAAAAACCGTCTCCTGCGAACGAAAAAAACGTGAAAAAAAACAATTGTTTCAGTTGTCCTGGTTCAATCCTATGTTTTTTCTTGGGTCCATTGCCCTCATCACTGGCTATTTCCACCCTTCTAGGCAGTTTTTGGGATGGTTTCGCAGCATTTATTGATGGTAAGCTCCAAATGTAGTGCTCAGGTGTCCATCTATTCTACTGGTTGAATCCCATGTTCTTGGCTATTTGTTCAATCGCAATTTTTCTGGTGACATCAGGTAAAATCCCGATTTTCCATGGATTTTATTTTCGGCCTCACATTGCCGAGTCCGTTTTTCCAATATCAACTATACCTTCTTAAAACATGTAACTTTCGCATCATGTTACCCATCAGAAACTCGTCCAACTGAAACCGTGGTTTTCACAACCAGATTTCATCCCACTAAATTCCAGCGGGTTTCTGGCCAACCGTTCTGAACATGGAGATGTGGAAAAGCACCAACGTTGGTGTGTTATACCCGTTGGTAAACTAACATAGCTATGGAAAACCACCATTTTTCATGGGTAAATCCACTATAAATGGCCATTTTCAATAGCTAGGTTAAATTACCAGAGGGTAAAACTGGACCTATTTTTAGACCTACCCCTTCGAACTGTTCGCATTTATAAGCTTGTGGAACTTATAGTTCTGATGATGGTTTACCCCCATGAGGAAATAGAGTTGGTAAGTTCGTAAATCCCAGTAATATTTCCATACTTACAGGGTTTGTCGGTTTAGTCTCGCATTATACTCCCACTTTACAAGATGAGGCCTCCCAATTATATATAAGTTCTTAAGCCCCATGAATACAAGTTCGTTATATCCCCAGAAACCCCATTTCAGCAATTCATTCATTTTGGGATTATATCCCAAAAGATGGAGGCTATCACCATGGTTATGCCCATTCAAGACCCCAACTTCACCCTCAAATAAGCCTCCGGTAATCAACCATGGTTTGGTGGAGAATCACCCATTTGTAGATCATGTTATCATTATACAAACAACCATATATATATATATGTATATAGATAAATATATAGCGGCTTTTCCATCTAGCCATGTTTGAGTATCCCATTTACATTCCCATGATCTTCCCATTTAATCCTCATTTGTAGGCTTCGTTATTTGTTGGAGGCCTCCATTAAATCCACATGAAAAATCCTGTAAAATCACCACTATTCCCATCCCCTGAATTAAACACCCCCATTCTATGGTCCCAATCGTGTAGAAATTCGCTACTTTCTAGGGGGTGTTGAATATTAAGGACAAGGGATGAGATCAGCCTAAAATCTCATTAAAGTCACCAAAAAACACATAAAACTCTCGTAAAATCCAATAATTATACAATTCCGTCACAAAATGCTTTAAATCAACATAAGATCCCCTGAAATCACCATAACGCCCCCTTAAATCACCGTAAGAATTCGCTTAAATCCCAATAAGATCCCCTTAAATCCCCTGACATCTCCTTAAGATGCCCTTTAATCCCCATAAGATCCTCTTAAATCCACTTAGAATCCCGTTAACATCGAAAAAAAAACCATACCCATAGGATCCATGGTGCTGGAATATTTACCCTAAAAATGACCCCTGTTGGTAATTTAAAATAATCCCAACTGGTTGGTAAATATTCCATGGATCCCTGTTGGGATTGATATTGCATTGATATTGCATTGATATTCCATTAGATCACCATTATACCACCATTGTTGAGTGTCAAATCCCCATTGCACGCCATTAATTCCATGGATCCTCTGGGATAATTTTTTTCACCACGTCACCGCTGTGGTCTCCACTGCCTTCTCTCGCCACAGCTCCGCCAGCTGTAGCGTGGAAGGCCACGCGTTCGAGCGCTGCGCGAGGATGGCCACGTGGAAACCATTCACCTCCGGATTACCCTCTGGTAAACTAACATAACTATGGAAAATCACCATTTTTCATGGGAAAACTCACTATAAATGTGGTATTTTCAATAGCTATGTTAAATTACCAGAGGGCACTGGAGAAAATATCAAGGTAAAAGTTACTGTAAATGATAGTGATTTATAGTGGTTTTTCATGGGATTTATAGTGATTTAATGGGATTTTATAGTGATTCAATGAGATATTAATGGGAGATCTCCAGGATCCTAAAATGGAGGTACGTTAGTACTATATAAGGCCATATTTTGCGGGTATATCCCCTTACATAGGCCTGAAAAATAGGTCTTATATATGGTAGGTACCTCCATTTTAGGATCCTGAAATTCCCATTGAACATATTCAAGGTATTTTTTTCTTTCATCCTCCAGAAAAAATGTTTTTTTTATTTTATTGATGGCAATTTCAGGTACACTGGAGGTACCTACCATTAATATAAGACCTTTTTTTCAGGATTATGTAAGGGAATATCCCCACAAAATATGGCTTAAATGGTACAGTAATACCCATTTTAGGATCCTGCAATTCCCATTTGACAGAAGCTTCATAGATAGATGTATACATTGACCTCGGGTGAATGATTTAGACCGAATAGAAAAGCAGCATGTAATTACATGTATGAATATATATATATATATGTATATATATATATATATATATGGGTAAGTTATAATATTTCACTAACCTGAAATAAGGTTATTTTGGGATAATTCCCCTTATTGACTATGATTCCAGTGAGGTCGCAGTGAGGTCGTTATAATTTAACCAGATATATGTACTATGTAAAAAAAGCAAAGACAGGGCGGCGCTTGACATTTCGGGCATGGCTTATAATCCATATATCACTGGGAGATGCCAGTGGCACCAATTACCACAGTCTATGTGTGTATATATATATACACATAGGGCATATACGAACATTAATATAGTTTTATGAATATAACTATAAACGATGACTATAACTATAACTATTATATAACTATATATATATATATATATATTACAACTATAACTATTTATGGACGTTCAACATTTTGATGTCCAAAAAACATGTCACCCAGTGGAAAACACTACGAGGTGATGCCCCTGTTGGTGAACGTGAAGGTGATGCCAGCGCCCCCCATGTTATGTGAATGTTGATTTTTAAGCCCCATGAATAGTGTAGTTATCTATGGTCATGAAGATATTATTATTATTATCATTATATGTGAGGTTATTTAACTTTCCCATGAATACACACCGAGTAAAATTGGAGTTATGTTCCCCGGCTTATCCAACATGGAGGTGTATATGCCATGGCTCGTAAGTGGAACATTCGAAATAGCCCAGTGGCCCAGTATGATCGGCCGTTCGGGTCTGCCCAATCCTAAAACATCACTTCCACCGTGAAACCACCGAACAATTGAGATATACACAGGTAATTATGAATTATGATAATTATGCTTGACATACCCTCTGGTAAACGTTTACATAACTATGGAACATCACCATTTTTTATGGGAAAATCCACTATAAATGGTCATTTTCAATAGCTATTTTGACATAACCAGAGGGTATGTTGCATGCCATCTATAGATGGGGCGTCTTTTTCTGGTGGACACATTGTTTCTGGCATCAAATGACCATCTGACCGGCGTCAAGCTGCTGTGGCTGAGCTGTTGAAAACTAAAAAAATCTGGAAAAAACTTGAAAAACTCCTGCTGAAGAAGAATTTATTGAAGAGACAACTCCACCTATAATCCCATTAAATCCCATTAAATCACATTAAATCCCATTAAATCCCATTAAATCCCATTAAATCCAAATACATCCCAATACATCCCAATAAATCCCAATAGACATCATCAAACCCCATTAAAATCAATTAATTTAATGTATATTCATTCCCATTAATATCCCATGAAATCACCATTCAACAACATGAAGTGTGGATAAATCACTTGGGAATAACTGGTATTTTCCTTTGAATCAATGATTAATTTCCAATTAATCCCTTCCCCCGTTCATATTAAACACCCCCTAAACGAAACCATGGCAAAATGTAGGGAATTTCCACATTCCATTGGGACCATGGTGTGTTGAATATTAGGATGGGATTAATGTATCTACCCTCTGGTGAACGTTTACATAACTACGGAAAATCACCAATTTTAAATGGGAAAACTCGCTATTTCAATGGCCATGTTCAATAGCAAACTGTTAGTTTACCAGAGGGTATATCCCATGAATATCCCATTGAATAACTATAAATCCCATTAAACCACTATAACTCACTATCAATAGCTATGTTGGCCAACTTTTAGTTTTACCCAGATTCATGTACCTAACTCTCAATTATCCCATGATGCAGCTGATCCCATGATTCTGCATCACAGTCTGCCGAATGTTTTCCCTATGATCTGTGGCAGCCCAGGGCTGCATATACATCCAGGCTTAACGAATGATCGATTGTTAATCTAATAACATCTTAATGATAAAGATGATATTGAATCAAAACCATTAACGAATCCCGGCTTATTATCTGTCAACCATTATTAATCCTTTTCGATATCCCGATTGTTTATTAATTTGTCGGTGGTTTCAACCCCTCTGAAAAATATGAAAGTCAGTCGGGATTATTTTTCCCAATATATGGAAACATAAAATTCATGTTCCAAAGCACCAACCAGTTTTCCATAGTTTTCCTATTCAATTTGCCAGACATTGCCCTAAGTTGTGGAGGTATCCCCTGTCAAGCTGAACCAGTTATTAAAGATGACACATCTCCAGGATACCAAATCAACGCGAGATCCCCAATCGCCATCACCTCGAGATGGCCATCTTGTAGGGTGCTTAGGAGCCTTGGCGGGTGGTCTTTTTCGGCGCGGCTTTAGGATGAAAAACGGTGATACACCGAGAGAGATTTATGATGACTTATGATGATCTATGATTTTATGATGATTTATGTTTTTTTAAGGATGATTATGATGATTTATGTTTTTTTTAAGGATGATTATGATGGTTTATGATTATTATTGAATATTTATGATTATTGTCATGATTATGATTTGGGAGAATGATCTACCCATGGTGTCAGTAGAGCATGAGCCAGCTTGAACTCAGCAGAGCTGAAAAAAGCCTCCTGTCAACAGCTCGATGTGGAAAACCCACCACTTGTAGGTCCTTTTCCTAGCGAAACCATGAATTTTCCACATCTGTGTGAACGTTTAGCCTAGGCCTAGGGTAACCCAGCTCCTTCCGAATCACATCCCCACATCTGATCCTGAATCTCCCAGCGCTAGTTGCTTCAAAATTATCTTTTCGCAGGTCATACACCCTTTTGTTGACCATCTTTATATATATAATTATATATTATATATATAAATATTATATTATATATAAATATTATATTATATATATAATTTTAATATATTATATATACATATTATATTATATATATAAATATTATATTATATATAAATATATTATTATATAAATATTATATTATATATAAATATTATATTATATATAAATATTATATTATATATATAAATATCATATTATATATATAAATATTATATTATATATAAATATTATATTATATATATATAAATATTATATTATATATAAATATTATATTATATATAAATATTATATTATATATAAATATTATATTATATATATAAATATTATATTATATATATAAACATTATATTATATATAAATATTATATTATATTATATATATATTTATATATTTATATTATATATATATATATTAGTTGTGAAAAAAAGGTACCTCTCCATTGATCTTTGAAAACACCTACGAGAAGTTAATTGTTGCTTTCTTCGAGTAATCCCAGCCAAGTGACACTCTTTCTGACATATCTTCTGACATTTTATCTGGCATTCTATCTGACATTTCATTTGAAATCTATTCTGATATGCTATCTGGCACATGTTCGGGGGCGTGCTCCTCTGCATCCTGAGCTTGCGATAGGCTTCGCCCAGGCAAAGAAGTAAGGAGATCCGGAAGCAATGAAGGAGTGAGTACTTGGTGGCTCATCCCACTTAGTAAGTGGGTTATAACCCCAGTTATAAGTGGATTAACCCTACTTATCCCGTGTCAATCTCTGGGGTTATAACCCACTTACGATTCGTGGGTAGTTCGCCACCAAGTAGGGAGTGAGTGGGAGTGAGGCACACCTTTCTTATCTTTCTTCAATCAGAGACCCTCACCTGGCGGGTAACTCTCCGAAAGAAACGGACAAAGTTGACACGTTTCTTGCCCTCAGGGAGGACTTTGGGAACTTTCCCAGCGTTGAGCGAGTTGAGCGATGAAACACATGACATGAATAAGTCATAGAAGCTGGGTCAATATATAATTGGTTCAGAAGGTTTAATAGTGGTTTGTAATGGTTATAATCATGATTATTCATGATTATTCATGATTGTTAAATGATTCATAGTCTAGGTAAATTGTAATTCATATTTCACAAAGCTGAATAGTTCGGCCACTCATCTTCCCTTTCCCGGCCCAGCGTTTTTGCCTCGGGAGAGCCTGCCTCTGAATGTTCGGCCATGTTGGGATTCCCCATAAACCATAATCTATGGTGAGGTCGTAGTGAAGTCGTTAGAATTACCCTCTGGTAAAAATACAAAAAGCTATTGAAAATTGCCATTTATAGTGGATTTGCCCATCAAAAATGGTGATTTTCCATAGTTACGTTAGTTTACCAGAGGGTAAATTGGAAAGGTTCTTGTATAGGTAATACCGTAATACCCCCTTCAGAGGTTTACTATGGTTTTCTCATTTGGTTTATCTGAAAAAATATTGTGCCCGTTGACTGTTCATAACGGATTTGACAATTGATATACTTGGTGGCTCATTCCACTTAGTAAGTGGGTTATAACCCCAGTTATAAATGGGATAAGTAGGGTTAATCCACTTATAACTGGGGTTATAACCCACTTACGATTCGTGGGATGAGCCACCAAGTAGTTATTTGTGAATGTACACCATCTCTGGACAAACCCAAAGAGTTTTTCTTGTTGGAATGATCTTTCCTATGAATATCCCATTTACATATATACATAATGTTTGCACCTGATTAAAGAGATGGTACCCTATTGTGAGAAATTTCTTGCTCCTAATTCAGTCACATGCCAATTGTTGGGGGGGGGCCTCTATTGTGAGTTTTTTTTTTCCAGATTTGTTTTTTTTTTAAATATTTTTTCCAAATGCCTTAATTAACTTTACTTTTCTTTCTAATTACTTTCCCACCTATGACCACTTTTAAACAATTGTCCGGACGGTACTCCACTGCGAGCACCAACTTTTGGGATTGAAAAAAAAACAAAACCCTTTCTCCACCTTTCTTTGGGTAAAGCTGGCCCTTTCACTTTAGAAAACCATATTCGTGTTAAAGCTTTAAAATGCAAGGTTTACCAAATAATTAGATGCCTTATTAAGCCCTTATTAAAAAACAGCATCCAGACAATTTTTCAAAGGGATACCTCATGAGTGGCTCAGTTACTCAATAATATAATTGTTTGGATGGTACTCTATTGTGAGCACCAACTTTTGGGAGTGATAAAGAAAAACAAAACCCTTTCTCCACTTTTCTTTGGGTAAATCTGGTGCCTTTACTTTAGAAAACCATATTTGTGTTAAAGCTTTAAAATGTAAGGTTTTCCAAATAATTAGATGCCTTATTAAACCCTTATTAAAAAACAGCACCCAGACAATTTTTCAAGGGGATACCTCATGATTGGCTCAGTTACTCAATAATATAATTGTTTGGATGGTACTCTATTGTGAGCACCAACTTTTGGGAGTGAAAAAAAAACCTTTCTCCACCTTTCTTTGGGTAAAGCTGGTCCTTTTACTTTAGAAATCCATATTTATGCTAAAGCTTTAAAATGCAAGGTTTTCCAAATAATTAGATGCCTTATCAAACCCTTATTAAAAAACAGCACTCAGACAATTTTTCAAGGGGGTACCTCATGAGTGGTTTAGTTACTCAATAATATAATTGTTTGGATGGTACTCTATTGTGAGCACCAACTCTATTGTGAGCACCAACTTTTGGGAGTGAAAAATAAATAAAAATAAATTAAAAGTAAATTGAAATCAATTGAAGTAAATTGAAATCAATTGAAAGTAAATTAAAAGTAAATTGAAATCAATTGAAAGTAAATTGAAAAGTAAATTGAAATCAATTGAAAGTAAATTGAAATCAATTGAAAGTAAATTAAAAGTAAATTGAAAGCAATTGAAAGTAAATTGAAATCAATTGAAAGTAAATTAAAAGTAAATTGAAATCAATTGAAAGTAAATTGAAAGTCAATTGAAAGTAAATTAAAAGTAAATTGAAATCAATTGAAAGTAAATTGAAATCAATTGAAAGTAAATTAAAAGTAAATTGAAATCAATTGAAAGTAAATTGAAATCAATTGAAAGTAAATTAAACGTAAATTAAAAGTAAATTGAAAGTAAATTGAAAGTAAATTGAAATCAATTGAAAGTAAATTAAAAGTAAATTGAAATCAATTGAAAGTAAATTAATTAGTTAAAAGTAAATTGAAATCAATTGAAAGTAAATTGAAATCAATTGAAAGTAAATTGAAATCCTTTCTTAAGTTGATTGACCAAAAAAATGTTGAGGGGGGGCAAAAAAAGTGCGAGTTATAGAGTATCCTCAAATTGTTTGGGGGGGGGGGCCCTCACACTAATCAGATGCAAACATTATATATATATATATCCCATTTATTATAATATTCAATATATCCATATAACATGAGTATTAATACATATTTCCAGACATATCATATCCCATATACCATGATATACCATGAATATTGTTGATTGATGATTGATCTTAACCACCTAACGCATCCTTTCTCGCCATTTCGCTGGGTCGAGCTGCTGTTGCGCATCTTTGGCGCAAAGCAAGAGCTCCGTGGCATGTTTCGGGTTGCATCGGAACCTCAGCAGAGAGGTTCAACTTTGTGGGATTGGGATCGGAGTTCGATCTTTGATATTCGATGAATTTACCCTCTGGTAAACATACAAAGAGCTATTGAAAATCACCATGCTATTAATGGGAAAATCAACTATAAATGGCCATTTTCAATAGCTTTTTGTATGTTTACCAGAGGGTATCTTGGGACGTTTTTTTTACATTGGATTTTAGTGATCACGTCTGGCAAAATCGCTTGAAAATGTCGATATTAGATGACTTTAGGATTCTCCTTCCATTTCACCCCCCTGGGATGAAAATTTACTGGTTGGTGGTTAAAAAGCCATCTTGAAAAATATGAAAGCCAATGGGAAGGATTGATTATCTCATATATTAATTATATATTATGGAAACTAGAAAATGTTTGAAACCACCAACCAGTCAGTCTCTGGAAGATTCAAACAACTCGATACAGTCTCTGCAGCCGAGAAATCGCTGCTAGCTGCGCCGATTCGAAGGGATGAGACTCTGAGATGAAAAAAACATATCCATGTATCATCCATATTTACTAGGGTAGTATATTCCCACATTTGGATATAATCCATGGATAGTATCTAAATATACTAGTATCCATGTTAGATTTAATACTATATCCCATATTATATATTCCCATAATTTCGGGTATATTCCATTAAATCTAACTAGGGAAAAATTGGATGCATTTACTAAGTGGGATAGCTCTGAAAAATTAACAGTTGGCTATTGAAGCCATGGCCATTTGTAGTTGATTTACCCATTAAACTCGGTGAATTTCCATACAGACGGTATGAGTTGGACAACTCATCAAAATTTTAGGTAGAAACCATGCAATAGTTCATACCATATCATGATTATGATGGTTCATTTGTTCAAAAAATGTTTGAGACTACACATGAAAGTTGCGAGATGCTAATCATCTATGATACTGTTTCAATGTTTCACGGTTTCGGGCACAAAAGGGTAGTCCCTTGCTGCCAATTCATCTACAGGATGGGCCCCCCAGTTATAAGCTTGTTTATAAACCCCATTAACCATAGTTATCTATAGTTATATCTACCATAAACCATAGTTAATTCAGCCACTATAAGGCAACTGAACGCTATCGACTGGGGGCCCCATCCTGTATCATCGGGGATTCAACCAGTCGACGGAGTCGACGCTTGCCAGGATCGTAATTAAAAAAAAGGAGTGATGTTCGCTATCTCAGGGACTCCACATCATTTCTTTTTTGGGATAAACATGAAATACCCTCTGGTAAACGTTAACATAACTATGGAAATATCCACCATTTTATAGTGATTTAATAGTGATTTAATGGGATCTTAATAGTGATTCAATGGGATCTTAATGGGATATACCCTCTGGTAAACATACAAAAAACTATGAAAAATCACCATCCTATCAATGGGTAAATCCACTATTTCGACTAGGCCATGGCTTCCAGTTCGCAAACTGTTAGTTTACCAGAGGGTATATCCCCTTAATATCCCATTGAATCACTATAAAATCCCATTAAATCACTATAAATCACCATTTTTTATGGGTAAATCAACCATAAATGGCCATAGTTGTTGGGAATCCTGCCATCCATAGTAGCCCTGCAGACCAAACCTGAAATCCCGGAAGATCCCTGGATTTTTTCCTGGAAGATCTGATTCGAATGCTTCCAAGTGTAGACATTCGATTTAACAATCTACATTAATTAATGACTCAAAATCTACATCGAATGAGTCTAAATTAATATATACTGTATATATATATATGTATGTATTTACATATATTCTGGGTAAATTATAATATTTCACTAACCTGAATTGTTTGGCCATTTGGGGATGATTTCCCTTACTAACCATTATTCCCAGTGAGGTCGCAGTGAGGTCGCAGTGAGGTCGCAGTGAGGTCGTTATAATTTACCCAGATATATATGTATAGTTACTTAAGGAAACTCCCAGCATTTAACGAATTCGTAACTCCTCCCAGCATTCTCCAAGTCGCCCCGGCGTTGACGTGGTGTCGGTAGACCTGGAGGAAACAAATTGGCTTGATCTCCCGGTTTAAATATCCATTATGGTTAATATATCCATATGCTTAACTTGGTTAACGTATATGTTTAATATATGTTAATATATTCATTATATATGACAATCAACGGTTAATATGCCAATAAATGACATTGTAATATGACAATAAATGGTATAGATCCAGCATATCCAAATGAAACTTCAATGGGTAATCGGTGTAAATCTGCCAGTCAATGGATATAATGCCACTATATCATACTATATCCCCACTTTTGACTCTATAATGATGCGGCTGAATTACAACTATCATCTGGTTGGTGGTTGAGCCACCGCAACGTGTGCTCGTCAGTTTGGATCATCACAAATTTCTTTGAACATAAGACATAATTATGGAGGTTTTCTGAAATGGGGGGTCCCTAAAACCATCTGTTTTAATACTACTTGGTGGCTCATCCCACTTAGTAAGTGGGTTACAACCCCAGTTACAAGTGGATAAACCCTACTTATCCCATTTATAACTGGGGTTATAACCCACTTACTAAGTGGGATGAGCCACCAAGTAAAGTAGTCTGATTTTGATTTGGGGTAGCCCCTATTTTCAAAAATCCCCATAATTGAAACCACCAGGAATTCAGAAATCTGGGAACGACTAACCGTGACCAACCACCATAAAATGGGAGCTGCACTTCGTGAGATGAACCTCTGACAGGAGAACATTTGTTTTAAAACGTGCTGTGCCAAGAGTCAGGTAAAAACTCCAAAAAACGAACGTCTGGATACCTGGAACTATCTGGAACTGAAATCAATTTCTTTCTGCCCCAGCTGGATATTATGAACAACATTGAACAAATCATTTTGCCACAAATGGCCCATGAAAATCTATCAGTCAGCTTGGGGTGTGCGTTATGATGTCCATCACCCACCAACAGTGGAAGGCTAAGAGGGGACCCCGGCGAAAAGTGTGTAAACATGTGATGATCCTTAGGATTCTCTGAAAATTGCATACTCCAAAATTTGATTGCTTTAAACCGTTGTTCTTGTACAAATCCGAATTCATAGCTAAAAGTGCAATGTTTTGGCTGGTCAAATCCAGTTCATCATCATTTTCCTGTTCAATTTGCCATACCCTCTGGTAATTTAACATAGCGAACTGGAAAGATCCACCATGCTATTAATGGGAAAGCTCACTATTTCTATGGCCATTTTCAATAGCTATTTTGACATAACCAGAAGGTATATCCCATTAATATCCCATTGAATAACTATAAAATCCCATTAAATCACTATAAATCACCATTTTTTATGGGTAAATTACCAGAGGGTAAATTGCTCTAATTCGGGGAGCTATCCCTTGACACTTTGCAAGCTCAGCAGCTCCAGTGTGGAGACTGTTGGCTTTGGGGAGATTATCAGCAACAAGCTCGCCCAAACATGTTGAATAGATAGAGATTGCAACATATTACTTATATATATATATATATATACACATAAAGTGACATAAAGTATAGTATATCTTTTCTTTATATATATATATATCGTATGTATACTGTATACATATATGGTACATGGTCTCTTGTGTATTCAGGTCCAAAAGTCCCCATGTCTTCATTGCTCGCCTCGTAATGTGCATTCATGGCTCAGTGCCGACGGCCACCATTAAAACGGCCAGGTTGCTTTGTGGTTGAGCCACTCATCCCATGTAAAAAACTTAGTTCTTTCGATCATCCCTTTCCGATGAAACAAACTCAGCAGAGAAGTTGCCAAGCCAAACTTCGTGATTCTCATATCCAAGTTTACAGTAATGATCATATCCAATTTCATCTGGTTGGTGGTTTCAACCCCTCTGAAAAATATGAGTTCGTCAGTTGGGATTATTCTTCCCAACTGAATGGAAAAATAAAAGCCATGTTCCAAACCACCAACCAGATATCCAATTTCATGATAGAGCCTTCACGAATTCTTCAGGAAGATTTCGGGTGAGTCCAGCCCGAAGAACCCTTGTCGGTCTTGTCGCCCCGAAGGTCACCGAATGTTGTGCAAGCCTTTTCTGACGATAGTATACTATAGTTACTGTAAATGATAGTGATTTATAGTGGTTTAATGGGATTTATAGTGGTTTAATGGGATATTATAGTGATTCAATGGGATATTAATGGGATATACCCTCTGGTAAACATAACAAAAAGCCACATGGAAGCCATGGCCCAGTCGAAATTGTTGATTTAACCAATTTAAAATGGTGGATCTTTCCATAGTTTTTTGCGAAATCTCAGAACTGTGTCTCAGAACTTGTCCCACCCACTTGTTGACAATGACCATTTTTTTGATCACGGGCGGGCGAGAGAAAACTAATCAAGCATGGCAACCAATGGGAATTTCAGGATCCAATTGATGGAGGTACCGATTCCATATATAGGGCCTATTTTTTAGGCCTATGTAAGGGGATATCCCCCTAAAATATGGCCTTATATGGTACAGTACCATACAGTACCTCCACTTTAGGATCCTGGAATTCCCATTGATGGCAATGCAATATCCACCATTTATAGATGATGGTCGTACTTGGTGGCTCATCCCACGACTCGTAACTGGGTTATAACCCCAGTGATTTACATGGGATAAGGAGCGGGTTGATCCACTGAAAAAACTGGGGTGAATTACCCTCTGGTGAACTAACTTAGCAATGGAAAATGGCCATAGAAATAGTGGATTTTCCCATGAAAAATGGGTGGATCTTTCCATTGCTATGTTAGTTCACCAGAGGGTAACCCACTGGAGAGTCCCTTGGATCCACATCCCTAATTTTCTGGGTCGACATTGGCTATACCCCAGGATGGGGCCCCAGTTCGGAATCGCGGTCAGTTGGTTTATAACTATAGTAACAAGTTGGTGTATGATACGCAAATAGCTATATTTAGATGGGGTCATAAACCAACTTATAACTGGGGGGCCCCATCCTGCCAAATTATCCCAAATTCTTCGGATGAGTCAAAAGATTCCCCTACTATGGTTAAAAACGACGGATTGTACATGTATGACATCGTCGGGTCTCACAACAGCAAATACAGGGCAAACACACACAAACATTGCGTAAAGAAGCTTCAATCCTGTCCCTGCCAAACCCTCCCATCTTCATGATACCCTGCAATAAACGAACATAGCAATGGACAATTATCAATTTATAGATGATTTACCTATGAACAAAATGTGATTTACAATAGCTATGTTACTTTACCAGAAGGTACATCTTTTTCTTAGCATAAAGTACTATCCATTCGATACTGATTTGAGCCGTTTATCCAAAAAACATGAAAGTCAACTTCGCTAATAATTTAATTGTGAAGGAAGAAACATTGACAACAATTGAAAAAAACAAAAAACAAAAACACTATTGCCAATGCCACATAAAGGCACTTTTATTGTCTATACATGTCTATACTATACTTTTGAAGGTAACAACGCAACATCCTCAATGTAGACAAACTTGTTGAAGAATTCCCATCTTAGAAGCCACCAGCTGGATTTCATCCTGATGCACCCCATGCCCCCGTTTTCCTCTCGCCAGATTTTTCGCGGCCGTCTCTTTGTACAATGCAGTGGTTGGATTGCGCGCGAGTTTCTCCCTGGATGCCAGTAGGTCTTAGCTTGGGAAATCTCGAACCCAGGTTGGTGACCCAGATGGTCAAGAGTCGTCCAATTGTTTTTGGTCCATTCCCCATGGAAAACACCAGGAACTGTGGTGGATATCGAGAATTTTTTCATGGATTTACCATGATTTAGCCTCCGGTCAAACGTCGTTTGCTGGAAAAATGGATAAGCATGGCCTATTTCTTGGATTTGCTTAAGGGGTTCCCAAAAAATGAAAAATATTCACTATAGATTCCCCAAATGGTGGATTTTCCATGGGGAAAAACAAATCCATGATTTATTCGATGTTCCTATGAATACCTCCATTTAGTCCGTGTTTATTCCCTTTGCTATGTCTAAGTACTGGATGGTGAAACTTAGATACGAAAAATCGAACATTTTTAGCTGTACATTTGACCAGCGATAGCAAAAGATTAAAGTACTACAGGATGGGGCCCAGTTATAAGTTGGTTTATAAACCCCATTAACCATAGTTATCTATGTAGTTATATATCTACCATAAACCATAGAATTCAGCCACTTGTAAACCAACTTGGCTATCTTGAGGGCCCCAGCCTGTATCTAACTAGTCTGTTGACCCAGGAGGGTATACATATTTGGAACGAATACCCATACCTCCTGATTTGTTGAAGCTGCAATCCAACCACCTGATTGTCGTCACATTTGTCGTCCCATGTTTAAAGAGTACAAATAATTGTAAAGACTGTAAAGACTGTAAAGATATAGATGGGTCGATTAGATAAAATAAGATAGATTTATAGTGAATCTAGTGATGAAATTTCAAAATCAAAACTATTTCGGTCCATCCCCGGAACAAGCCATGCTGAAGTCGAAACACAGATCGTTTCAGGGCCATGAGCTGTAGGGATTTTCACATCATTTGGGGATACAATGTTTTAATATATATATATATATACATACACTGTATATGTATATATATATATACACATTGTATGTATATATATATGTATATGATATGGATGATACTATGCGTATTTGACCTTGATTCCCAGTGTACGGATCTGACCAGGATAAATTGTGCAAGCCCAATCTGAGATACTCTGCATTCTTCAACGGATAGTATATTCCCGTCTGTAGCACAAGATTGAAGTACTAAGCTATACTCATCCAAAGATGGCAAGTTGAGGAGTGAAAAAAAACAATGTCGTCCCTTTCTTGCTGGTGGATAGGATTTCCCCGTTTCATGGTGATAATTCCCAATTTGATACAATCTTGAAGCAGCACGGGATTTGAACTATTTGAACACATCACAATCCATTTCATGTGGGTTGAACAAAATATTTGAACACTAATCACTCATTCATCCCAATAGGTTGAAACATTTGAACACATTACTAATCAGTTGTTTATCCATGTATATTTATTTAATCCTTTACCACTCATCCAGCTATGTGATGACAACCGTTCCTGCAACAGTCGCGCGGCTTGGCTTTGCCTTTGCCGAATGCCAACACTTAACACTTGACATGGCCCTGACGGACGTCTTAAATTTTAAATAGGAAAGAATCCAGACGGATTGAAGTCAATAGCCAACAAAAAGCCTCCAAACTAACAGCTCAATCTGATTCAATCTGGCCCTCATTTCATCACTTGAAGCTCGGGAACTCTAAACCGTGGTTTTCGCTATGTGAAAGTCCAATGATGCCATCAATGGCCAATCCCACCTGAGACAACGCAGTTTTGCTCTCAGAAAATTGGTACCCGAAAAATTTGGAACATCACCATAGAAATAGTGGAAAGCCAGCAGGTTTTCTGGAGCTCCATTTATGACCAAAGTACCAAAGATCAATATAGTATGAAAACTCCCCTTATTGATTCTTTATATAATAAATATCCATATTAATCTTCTATCTCTTCTTCAGCTTCCCCAGTTTGTTTCATCTTCTGGATTTCATTTTTGATCACCTGAACAGGCCGTCAGCTCTCATTGCTACACACTGAGAGGAAGGTCCCCCGCTCTTCGCTGTCGCTCTGCGTCGCTTCACTCTCCGTTGCATCCGCAGCCACTGCAGGACCAGGAAGCGCGCTAGCGGCAGCCGCAGCCTGTCGTTGGGGCCAGGTAACAGTATCCATTGGGACCCCATGGGCCCTGAAAAAAGGGCAATCTGTTGGTTGCTACACAACAGATGTTGGCTTGAGTCGGCATATGACATGTCATATCTTTGGAATGAACCAAACATGACTGCAATCACCATGATATCACCATAAGTGGTGCATGCGATGATGATTTTACTCCTATTCGTTCCCTTATTGTCACAGTTACTATGGGCCAACAATAATCCTCATATATCACGTATCCGACAGAGACTTTTTCCGACAGTTTACACACTTCTTCCATCATTCCAGGCTAGCAGCTAGCAGCTGCCTGAAAACTAGCGAAAAATGTTTCGGAATCTGAGTTTCCCTATACCGGATTCTGGCGACTTTGGGGTTCCTGTTCAGAAGTTATCTTGAATAGGTACTGTGATCTGGAAGCGGCTATCTGATAATACGTATTCCTGCTTATTATTATATTCCTATCTCCTTGGGAAATACTGCTTACTTACTACTCGGAAGCGAACAATTGTCAATAATTAGTTTTTCACATTATTATACACTTTTTTGTGTTATCTCCATGCTTCTCGTGGGTAGAATCGGGTAGAACTGCCGCATGTTTTTTGCTGTTTCCTTTCGTGAGTTTGAAAAGATTGTTCATCAGTTTCGCCACTCAAATAGCCATTTTGGGAGCACACCCAATTTTCAGCCACGCCCAAATATCAAATTGTTGGTTAGCATTTAAATACAAATCATCGTATATTATACACCGTTATAAATCATATCCGATTATATTCTCAGTATATTCCCAGTATATCCTCATGAATATCACCACACAAAATATCTTTTAGATGCTCAATGTTATGCAACAAGTCAGACAACTATCCCCATTATCGTCAATTACCCAATTTATATTCTCATTAGATTCCCATGCTTTCCCCATCCATTATTGTCAATTACCATTGCATCCTTACGTCCTA